CTGATTGAAATGGTGAATGTTTGATTTTCTATTAGATTTCTGATTTTAAATGGCGACTGTTTGATTTTCAATTTAAATTTCTGCATTGAAATGGTGACTGTTGGATTTTCAATTTCGATTTCCGAATTGAAAATTGCGACTGCTTTATTTTCAATTTAGAAACAGAATTGAAATTCTTACTGTTTGATAGTTTGATATAAGGTTCTTTTTAACCACCCAGGCTTTGCTGGAGTCAGTAAGATCTTAGGCGAGTACAAGTGTTCAAGCCATACTCACCCTCCAAGTTCTTTTGCCATCCACACTTTTCGACGTAGCCCACCAAAGCTGCCACATACGCCTTCACCCGTGAAATCTCTTCCCATCGTTATAGTAGGCATCTCATCCTGTGCGCTTCTCCAAGCTTCCAAGCAACTATTAGCCCAGAAACTTTCCTGAACCAACCTCTACTAGAAGTTCCTCGAGGAGGCACGAACTCTGGTACCTGAGAATGAACAATACTAAATGCATAGATCAAGAAACTTGAATCCCACACAGAAAGCAAAACCATAGAAACATATGATGCTTGAGAAAATGTATGAATTTCCTATCAGATACATCTTGAGTAGAGGACGGCCCAGTCGAAGCTTGAGAGCCTTTTTGTTTGGTGCAATAAAGAAGCTTCTTCACCTGGTCAGGAGTACAGGTCAACCTCCCCCATTGCTTCTGGAACTGGACCAGGTAGTTCTTTGGGGATGCATGCTGCTGAAGCCTCAGAGGGGGTACTTCAGGAGTGGCAGGTGCCAACAAACCAACATCAGGTTGAACTGGCAAAACCGTAGTTGCACTGGCTGGTGAAGACGCGCAGATACCTGGACTTGGGCCAGGTGCCATTGCCATAGAAGCTTCAAGTAGTGGTGCACCTGGGTGTTTGGCTTTAGAACCTTCCACTTCTCGCAGAAAACCAGATCCACTACTGGGCTCACCTGGTGGCTGTTCTGGCAGGTCAGGCATCAGGCCATCCATCTGCAGCCTGTATGCAAAGTTCACCAAGAGGTCCAAGGTCTGCTTTTGCAACTCTTCTTCATTCAAAGGATCCTGAGAGGGGACGACAGCGGGGCCAAAAACAATGAAGTGATGAGTATGACAAAATGAAGGGGGTTGGCCGCCATCACCCTCCCTCTTCATCACTACAGGTGGAAGTGGTGGAACATGTTTGCATTGCTTTGTTGCTTGTGTTACATGCCCATGAGGTTCCTTTAAGGTTTTTTCTATAAAACTATGCTTATTACTAAGATTGCAACCAGTTGAACAACTACAAACTCCTGACAACCAAAACATTCCCATGCATGAGCGCACAAGAGTCCCAAACTTGCATGCGCATTCCAAAACTTTGTAGCTTGCAGGGATGGAAAGCAACACAATTGACACTGGCGGACTCTTCTGCCCAGAGTTCAAATTGGCGTGCGTTCGCGCGTGCTGGTGACAGCATCTCTTGGAGCAGAAAACGGACGCTGCGCAGGTTGAGGGGCAAGGGAAAAAATTGCGACTTTCTGTTGAACTTGTACACACATGTAGACATATTTACTTGTGTATATAGTATATATGCATATAGAATGACGTTTGATTACGTTTGTGCGAGGAGGAACGAAATAGACCCCAAAGGTCCCTGCCACATATATATATATATAGCACCATGGATCCTATGGGAAAGAAATATGGGGATTTGAATGGAAAAATGAAGTCATACACACAGGCTGGGAACATACGCCAATGAGACATTCCATTCAAAGATCCTCTAGGCAGACTCCCTGTGGCATCTCTATTCATACCCTCTGGTTATGACTAACAGTTCGCCATGGTATAGATGGCCCATAGAAATAGATGGTTTACCGAACTTAAAAATGGTGAATCGTTCCATGGCTATGTTAAATAACCAGATGGTAAAACATCTGGTGATATCATGTGATAGTAAAAACAAAACCATGAAAAAACCATGGAAAAAAACATGAAAACTATAGAATACGGTTTAGAAAACCATTACCCTCTGGTAAACATACAAAAAGCTATAGAAAAAGGCCATAGAAATAGTTGATTGACCCATTTTGACCCATGAAAAATGGTGATTTTCCATAGCAAACTGTTAGTTTACCAGAGGGTAAAAGCCGTCTTTTTACATCTGGTGATATCATGTGATATCCCTCAACCCAATCAACACATGTGGATTTAAACATGATTTAGCAAAACCCATAGGATCCATGGTGCTGGTATATATGCTAACATGAATGGAGTATATTGGTGGGATCCATGCTACCATATATATATATATATATAGCACCATGGATCCTATGGGAAAGAAATATGGGGATTTGAATGGAAAAATGAAGTCATACACACAGGCTGGGAACATACGCCAATGAGACAGTCCATTCAAAGATCCTCTAGGCAGACTCCCTGTGGCATCTCTATTCATACCCTCTGGTTATGACTAACAGTTCGCCATGGTATAGATGGCCCATAGAAATAGATGGTTTACCTATTGATAGCATGGTGATTTTCCATGGCTATCTCTTAAATAACCAGATGGTAATCCTTTTCATTGGTTGCAAAGTTTGTCAGAAGTGTTGGAGGAACTGGGAACTGGCAAGTGAAATGGGGTGACAACGCAGCTTAAGCTGCGAAACCAATACAGTACCAAGCCCTACTGGGTCTCGTTTCTTTGGACATGATTTATGATCAAGCCTGCCACATTGTGGCAAACCATTTAAATCCTTTTATTATATATAATATATACATAATATATATATATATATACATAATATATATATATATACATATAATATAATATATATACATAACATATATATATACATAACATATATATACACATACATATAATATATATACATATACATAATATATATATACATATACATATAATATATATATAATATATACATATAATATATATATATACATATAATATATATATACATAATATATATATACATAATATATATATACACATATAATATATATATATATACACAATATATTTACATACATTATATATATATACATATAATATATAATATATATATAATTTTGTGTCATCATTGAGCTAACTTCACACTATGCATGGGTTGTATTTTTAACCAGCCAATTTTGATCGATGTTGCCTCAGAGGTGCTTCACAATGACTCAACCGTCATTCTTTACCGTGAAAAAAAAACGTTGAACCAGTTTTGAAACCATATGTCCAGCAAATGTGCAAGGTAGTGCCTACTAACAACATGGTAGATATTAACCGAATGTAGTTCACGGCCTGAAACTCAAGCAACAAAACTTTCACCTGGGCCCACCATGTAGTACTCGATCCTTCAAGACTTGTCCCCAGTAATAGACAACATCAATACCCTCTGGTAAACATACAAGCAGCCATGGCATAAATGGCCCCATTTATCAATAATTTACTCATATACACAGCCATATGTATATATATATATACATACATACATAGCCATTTAAAAATGGTGGTTTCCATAGTTACATTAGCTTAAATGATTGGTTTACTCATACTTACTTACCAGTACCCACTAAAAATTGTGCTTTTTCATTAGTTATGTTAGTTTACTGGAGGTACTGTTGCCATTCGTTTGGTATTTCTCATGCTCCCTAGCCTGACAGAACGGATGAAACTCTGGAGAGACCTCATGGGATTTCAGAATGATCCCATACAAGGTGAGGCCCCCACATTTGCCTTGGTGATATATCTATCATAACTATAGTATATAGAATCTGGTTGGTGGTTTCAACCTACCCCTCTGAAAAATATGAGTTCGTCAGTTGGGATGATGACATTCCCAACTGAATGGAAAAATCATCCATTCATGTTCCAAACCACCAACCAGGAATACTATTATAACCCCCACATTTGCCTTGGTTAAGGATGTCATTTTTTGGTTATAGATCATCTATGATCATGAGGGAGGCCTCAGCTGGTTCCCATGTCTGATTTCCACACCCAGGATCCAAGGCGCTCTTCACTCCAATGCCTAAAGCATCTGATGCCGCGCCGCTTCTGTCAGTATGAATGCGGCGAGTGAAACGAACTATTGCTGCATTAGCAAAGAAATTGCCATCCGCGATCCCCTCATGGAAGCCTGGGGATGTGTCAAGGCAGATGGTGGCTGTCTTTCTTTTAAGATTCGAGCACGTCATTTTGGCACGGCTAATAAATCGTAACCTGCACATATTATCTGCAGAATTTCGAGCATCATCCCACTTGTTTCCTCCTGTGTCTGCCAAGAATTTCTACAAAACAAACTGCCCGTATCTGTCAAACTTACCTCTATGACTCTATGAATTAATCTCGAAACTTGAATCTCTATCAAACTTGTCCAAACTTATCTCGTTTATCTCCCCCTTGTGACCATCAAACAAACTTACCTCAAACGTATAATTCTGCCTTACGATCATCTCCGTCAAACTGATCCCGCTGGCAGACTCTCCAGCAATTGTGTTTGGTACCAAACTTACCCTCTGGTAAACATACAAAAAACTATGGAAAATCACCATTTTTAATGGGAAAACTCACTATTTCAATGGCCATGTTCAATAGCTATGTTAGTTTACCAGAGGGTACCTTAATCAAACTTTATTGTACTAGTATCAAACTTCCCTCTTCCACACTCCTCTACCAAACATTCCTGTAGCAAACTGTGATCTCTGTCAAGGTTCCCCCTATCAATTTTCCGTGTATCAAAGTCACTTCTCATCTATATAGACATCCCCGTTCACATCACATTCACATCTCACATCTCACATCTCACATCTCACATCCTATCCCCACTTCCAAAGTCAATGGATTGGTAGGGAAAATATCTTCACCGGAAACCATCGATTTTCCCATAAAACAGGGGCTTTCCGGTTTCAATGTTCATTGACAACAATAGTATCCATTAGTATGGGGCTTACCTAATCTGTGTCCATTACTATGGCGTCCATAGTATACTATTAGTATCAACCAATCCATTGACAAAGCCACCACCAGCCGTGTAGAGAGGCCGCGGTGAGATCAGAGATCTTCCAGGTTTTCATATTCCAACACTGCGCCCCTCACTAGCTGTGCATCGAGCGCCACACCTCCTGCACGTTTAGAAAATCTGTTGGTTTTTGATGGGGGCAAGGTTCTTCACTGGGCAACTCAGGGTTGGTTTGGAAGAGTTCTTTTTGATTAAACATGTTGTTTTTCTTTAGTTGATACAAATGAGTCAACACATACCTATACATATCTATACATATCTATACCATGGCATTTTCTCCAGGTATAAATATAGATATCTATAGGTATAAATATATACATTTTCTCCAGGTTTTTTTTTATTTTCTATACACATACCTATACATATCTCACGCGGTTTTTCTCACATCATCCCCGGGATTTCACCCTCGGATCTGTTTCTCGGCTTTGGGACATTTTTTGCCACGGCCCTTTTTGGGTGAAATCTCTCCGGGTGGATTTCTGAGAAATTTCTCGGATCATCATTTTACCCTCTGGTAAACATACAAAAACCTATGGAAAATCACTATTTTTAATGGGTAAATCCACTATTTCTATGGCAGGCAATTTTCAATAGCTATGTTAATTTACCAGAGGGTAAAAGACATCCAAAGATTGAAGAAACTTCATACAATATCTGGCTGGTTTCAACCTACCTACCTACCTACCCCTCTGAAATTAAAATCATGGAGTGAGTGAGTGAGTTCATCAGTTGGGATGAAATTCCCAACTTTTTATGGAAAGTCATAATCCAGTCATATATTCATATATATATACACCATATTTTCCCAGATTTTCCCAAAATCATCCCAAAATCATGTTCCAGTCACCACCAACCAGATATAGATAGCTCTGAAAATGATTCGATCGACCTATGGAATCCAATGGACTGTACCAAGGAGGACTTGCAAAAATGTGCAACCAGCTTTTTTTTAGCCATTGCAATGTCTGATTATAGCTGATTATAGTTGATTATCCAACTCTCTTCAGATCATCCATTGCTTCAGCATTTGAGGTCTTTCTCCAAAAAAAAAATGGCCACGTGGAGGCTGTCGGCCCTTAAATGTCGTCACGGTCGTCCTTGGGGCGTCCCGGAAGCGCAGAGCACATTGCGGAAGAAGCGACAGTTCGAGGCGCATCTCTCCTGTCCCAGTCGGTCTCCGAAGGAGGTCAGGACGGTGAGTTCCGAATGGATTTTGGATGAATGAATCACTGGGATTGGATGAAAATCCACATGCTGTCCATGCTAGTTCCCATGAAATATCTGGGTAGTTTCCCTCAAACCAATCCAATGAATGAAGAAAATGAGGTATAAAATTTGATGTGAAATGAGATAAAAACATAGCTGGATAACATAATTATAAATGCAGGAGATAGGATATAAAGACATATGTGCCATGTGATTGTCCTGATCTTGACAATCAGGAGGCAAACAAATTGAAAACATATATATGCATATATATATATATATATTCGATGAATAAAAATTACAGAGAACATGCTATCAACAACAAATAGTAAAAACACATTTCAGATTTTCAGACGACCATGCATAGAATCACTTGGCAAATCTGTGATACCCTTCAAACTTCAGTGAATCTCAGCATCAGGTTTTCCTTGTATAGCATAAATATGCAGAAATTATGATGATCTATGACAGTTGGAAAATATCGTGTTTCATACATATGGTATTTTATGGTCTAGTATTTGGTTTTTCCTCAAAACATATTTCCAGTAACCTAATAGATACAGTACCCAATCTTGCCAAAAAAACAGGACTCGTCGACGTCTCAGTCTCTGTCGAGATGCTCACCATCATCCAATGGCTTTTGATCATCTACCATGTAGATTCATATAGACTAAAGGCATCGTTTTTAATGATATATTTTCATATAGATTGATTATTTCATATACTTCATATAGATATTCTACCATAGTAGATATGAATAGATTGAAATTCTGATCAACATCCCTCATGGATTGATGATTGATGACCATCTCTTAAAAATTTCGCCAGTTTACCAACGTGACTTCGCCAGGTAAGAACTTTCTGAAGTGACTAATGTCAGAACAGGATTTCCATCTGGATTGGATTATGATGACATCACAATCTACCCTCTGGTAAACTAACAGTTTGCCATGGAAAGATCCACCATTGAATAAATAGGTAAATCAACGAACTAAATGTGCTATGTTCAATAGCAAACTGTTAAATTACCAGAGGGTATTTGGCTGGCTGGAACCCCGAACTCATCTGGTTGGTGGTTGACCTACCCCTCTGAAAAATATGAGTTCGTCAGTTGGGATGATGACATTCCCAACATATGGAAAAATAAAACATGTTCCAAACCACCAACCAGTCATGGCTGTATATTGTATATGAGAAATCACAATATCATGGTTGATGAGTTGGTTGATCATCAATTTTACACTATGCTTGGTGATATTTGGTTGGATTATGATATATGATTCTATCATCGAAACATATGGTAGAACCCCTTTTCTCAACCAACCTTTTTTGTTTTGGTGAAAATATTCCCGTTCTTGGTGAATGAATCCCAATCCCCCCGAAGATTCAACACCGAAACCAGAAACCATGGTATAAAGTAGGGGATAAAAATGGTGATTTATTGCTGTTTAATGGGACTTTATAGTGATTTAATGGATTATGAATGGGATATACCCTCTGGTAATTTGTTACATAGCTATTGAAAATGGCCCAGTCGAAATAGTGGATTTTCCCAGCTAGAAAATGGTGATTTTCCATAGTTTTTTGTATGTTTACCAGAGGGTATAGGGGATAAAACACATCATTAGTTGTGAGCATAGAATGGTGGTGTTTAATATGATCGATAATGGGGCGGGTGTTTCTTTTGAACCAACCATCATTCGTCAATTATATCCCTGCAGGTCTGATAATTAAAACCACATAAATCCTATAACTGATGGTTAAATCCCACTAGAATCATATGAAATCACTAACAAGAGGCTTCCAGTTGTTTTCCCCATAAACCTTATTAAAATCTCATTAACATCCAACAAAAACATGGTACCGACGCCCCGAAGGAGACGTCCAAGGCCTGGTTGCCTCTTACAGGCGCCACCACCAGTATCCCATGAAAATCCCTATCCCATATGCTTCATGCTGCTGGAATGGGTAAATATAGCAGCACCATGGTTCGCATATTGGTATAATTAATGGTTGAATGGAAAAAATTGGTATATATGGGTATATGGTAATGATAAAAAATCTGGTGGCTCTTGTGGAGCAAACATGGGGCATATGGAAAAAAAATGATGGTGCTATTATCATTAATAAGTTCGTTGATTTCTATGAGGTCACTAGCACATGAAAAAATCCCATCACTTTGGTGATTGTAAATATGAAAATCGGGCAAAAATCAAAAAAGAAGCTTTATAGATGGATTGTCCCTGGAAAATCTTATTTTTACATCCCCATCAAAAACATCTCAAAATCCCCATGAAAATCATGGTTGAATCATTAACGATCAGCTTTCAGTGCTTCGTTGGGACCCCCCACGAGGAGTTCCATGCCATAGGCGTCTGTGACGTCAATGTCCTGTGGACTTAGATTAAGCCGACCAAAATGATCCAAAATTGGTGGTTGAATCAAGAAAAACAAAGAAGTTCATAGGATTTTAGTATTATATGAATTATATATGAATTATATGCTATGGATTGATATGGTATAATGAAGTCTAAATTGAGTTGTTTGAAAATACATGGCTATGGGTTCCTTGAAGTTGGTTTTCGAAGCAATATAACATTCAGGTTTATGGTAGATATATATATATATATTATTATATTATATCATATTATATTATATTATATTATAGTATATTATATTATAGTATATTATATTATATTATATATTATATTATATATTATATTATATTGTATATTATATTATATTATATATTATATTATATTATATTATATATCTGTAGTGAATGGGGGTTGTAAACAAATAAACATGAATGGCTGTGAATGATTTATGAAGTACTGGGACGGACCATCCAACTGCATGTAACTTCGTACTGTTACAAGAGGGATTTCCTAAGCAACCAAAATGGACACCTTTTCTTCACCCAACATTTTCATCATGGGAAATCATGGCACTGTCATAGATTCATAACTCTCCGCTAGGGTCAAACCATAGTCATAGTAGGGTACAACTGGTCATCTATCCCGCGTTGCTAGTACAACGGGAGAAAAAAAAGACCACATGGGATGGGATGACCATTACCCCCTTTTAACCCTCTGGTAATTTGTTACCGTGTGCTATTGAAAATGGCCCGTTCATATCCATAGAAAGTTCGTTGATTTACTTATTAAAGATGGTGGATCTTTCCATATCAATGGGAATTTCAGGATCCTAAAATGGAGGTACCTGAAATTTAGGATCCTGATATTCCCATTACCCATAGCTATTTTTTTTCGTTTAGCAAAGGGTATGGGGTTTCCCAACCCAAGTTTCGACCGTGGCACCGAGAAACTCCATGAACAATGGGGTGAAACGTCTTGGATCTCACCGGTGTTAAGATCCACAGAAAAAAATGGTGATTTATTGCTGTTTCATGGGATTTACTGGTTGATCAATGGTTTTAGTCAAATTTAGTCCATCTATGGTTAATCATGGTGAATAGTGACTTCATGGGACTTCAAAATATGATTTAATGGGTTATGAATGGGATATACCCTCTGGTAATTTGTTACAGTTTGCGAACTGGAAGCCATGGACCATAGATTTATAGATGTTTAAAAGTTTTTTACCTCTTAAAATTTGGAGATTTTCCAGTTCGCAAACTGTTAGTTTACCAGAGGGTACCTTCCAATAAACTAACATAACTATGGAAAATCACCATTTTTTATGGGTAAATCCACTATAAATGACCATTTTCAATAGCTATGTTAGTTTACCAGAGGGTACCTTCCAATAAACTAATATATCAAAAATCCACCAGAAATGTTGATCATGTTCCAATTGGAACCGATTGGATTTCACCTGTGTTTTCTATGGAATTCTGGAGGCTATTCTGGGAATGGGAGTACTAACCAATATGCCCAAAAGCCTCCTCTCTAAGACTCTAACTTGTCATGTTTCACTCCCCAATTCTGAGGAGTACGGTACCTATATCTATGGAAAACTACCCTATTCGAATAGGTAAATCATCATACAGTATAAATCGTCTATCATTTATAAATTGGACATTTTCCAGAAACAAGACATTGATATGCCATGCCGGGCCATGCCGGTTTGCCTCCCAAAAATCTTCTAGATTCCTTGGCGATCTTGAACCCATTGTAAAATAAAGAAAATTTACAAAAAAAATCCTGCCTGCGGAGCAAGCAAACCAGCCTCCCTAACCTCCCAAAGATCTCAAATTTCTCCTCTTCCGTCCGCTGGTTGACCAAGTTTCTGGCGTGGTCGCCGTGATTGGGGGATTTTACGGCGACCAATGGCTATCCAAAGAAAACGGGGACATGGATCCTTCCGCGGTGATCCGGACCTTTGGAACAAGTGAGTTGCGCTTTTGAGAGGTTTGATCCGGACATGTTGAGAAGGTATACCACTTAGTGGTCTGGTATAAGTAGAACTTGTCATTCTTGGGTATGGATTATTCGGGGTCGTTGAGCTGCGAAAAATTCATGGGACTCGAGGATACAAAACCAACCATGGGATTCCAGGGGGCGCCAGTGGGACTCAGCGGAGCAGTAGCCTATGGAACCAGAAGTACAGGAATGCTGGCCTTGTGGTGGGAGATGGTGTGATTGAGTGATGAGATCTCCCCAAAAAAATGGCAGGTTAGGGGTCTAAGTCCCCCAGTGGTGGTGAGTTTCTTGATGAAATGTCTCATCTCCACCTGGAGGTTTCCGAAAAAATGGAGGGTACCCCTAGTTATCATCCAGCTTGGATTGGGATTTTCATGGATTTTCCCTTCTAAACCATCCAGCTATTGGGTATCCCCCATTGATGGAAACCACCGCGACGCACCTGGCAAAGGCATCTACCACTGATTCGATCTGCCGCACGCGTGTCAGGCACCTGTGGGAAGGCTCCGTTTCCAAAAAAAATCAAAGTTGATGTACAGAGTATAGGATCCAAGATGATCTAAGTTGGAAACTTAGAATTTGGAAATTCTGTGAGTTGAGAGTTGAGTAGGAACAAAAAGGTGATTCCAACCATAAATTGGTTTTATGTAGGAGAACACATGTTCACATTTAAGTCTGGAATTGGAAACATGTGTTTGATCACTTATTTTTTGGGGATTACTTTAAAAACAAACAAAAACAGATAAATCTAGGAGAATTGGCTTTAAAACACAAGGTTTTAGTGGGAAAAAAACATATTCACCTGGGATTTGGGTGGGAAACCCTCGAAAATTTCCCCACCTGGGCCGCCGTGGCCGTTTCGCCGCCGGCTCCGCCGCGCGCTCCGTCGACCGCTCCGACAACTCCGACAGCTCCAGCGCCTCGGGCGGCGTCGCCGGCGACGGCACGGCCTCGCCGTCCTCGGAGAACTTGCGCTTGCGGCTGTCGACCGGTGCCTGCGGGTTGGAACACCAAAGGGGAACTGTCGAATCTTTCAATGGATTGGATTAAGGGAAAATCTACAGGAAACCATGGTTTTAACCATCAAATATAGTGGTTTCCTGTAAATTTTCCCATCATCCAATTCTATGAATCTTGAAAAATCTAAGTATATGCTATCAATCCATCTAATAACTAGGGGCGAAGTGTTGATAAAAAATGGTGGATGTATCTGTTCATTAAGTTCATTAGAAAACAAACCATCAAGATAAATAGGGCCTTATGGGCGTTGCATTTTGGGTGCATGAACACCTGATGTCTACTCGGTGGTAGAACTGCATCCAAAAATAGAACACAACTCAAAAAACAACAAAAAATCTAATCCGAGAAAATTGTAATATCCAGGCAAATTGTCTGAATTCCCAAATCAAAATAGGCCGGCTAATCATCATCTATGCACTCTTTTGAGGTCTACAGCTTACCAAGAGAATCTTATTTCTGCAATAGATATTCATCCCAGTACCAGTTTTAATGCATTGTATTCCCCCATTCAAAATGGCAAACAAAAATGAATTCACCTACTTAGGTTTTTCCCAATCATTCCGCATCCCCGAATATACCGGAAGCATCCAAGGTTTACCCAACCATTTAGCCATAGTTTCTGCTGACATCCCCAGATGTTTCGTGGAATTTACCCCATTTCTGCTGGTAAAATCACCATGTGTTGCTGGTTTTATCTCCACGTGTTCCACAAAAATCACCACTGCTACTAACTCCCGATACTGGTGTTTCACCAGCATTTCTGATGTTCATCTGTTCAAAACAAAGTTATACCCTCTGGTAAACTCACATAACTATGGAAAGATCCACCATTTTTCATGGGAAAATTCACTATAAATACTATAAATCATGATTTTCCATAGTTATGTCAAATTACCAGAGGGTATAACCATGTGAAATCCCCAGTGTTTCATAGTTTTTTCACTTCCCCTTCCGCACCCAGAAACGACACCCGCCGACCTTCAAGGTGGGGCTGGCGCTAGAAAAAGTGGGCGTCTCGGTGACCTGTAGCAAGGAACAAGGGGTTGATGCCATATATCATAATATTACGGGTTATATACCAATAGATATTATGTTATATATATATAAGTAAATTATAATAATTCACTAACCTGAAATAAGGTCATTTGGGGATGATTTCCCTTACTAACCATCATTCCCAGTGAGGTCGCAGTGAGGTCGTTATGATTTGCCCAGATATATATATATATATGTATATATATACATATATATATACATACATACACCATATATATTCTGGTTGGTTACTACAATCTATCCATACATTCTCTGGCTGGTGGTATACTATACCATTAGAGTTATATATACCATATGATTAGAGTTTATATACCATATGATTGATCCATTATCAATTATCCTTTCCCCATAGATTACCATAGTTTTCTGGTTGGTGGTATACCTACCCCTCTGAAAAATGATGGAGTTCGACAGTTGCGATGATGACATTCCCAATATATGGAAAAATAAAATTCATGTTCCAAACCACCAACCCGCCATTAGATATAATGTTATTTATATACCATATAAAATTATATATATATACATATAGTCATATATAATTATATGTAATTATATATAATTATATATAATGTTAATGGGTTATAATATTGATACCATTATAACATTGTGGTTATATAATATCTGCTATACTTAGAGATCATGTTATATACCATGAATGTGGATTATCTACTATGCCTTGTGGATATACCATTTATACTATCATGATGGATATTCCATTCATGTGGGTAAAACAATGCCATAAACCACCCATGAATGGGAATGGTAACCATACCACTCCACCTATAAAAATCGTGATGACTGGGGGATGGTTTATGACATTGTTTTACCAACATTACGATTTATTCCATTACTATGTCTACAGTAATATTTACCAATTATATTTACTATATCATTATATATGTCATGGGGTGTATAATCACCAATACAGTGTATATATATATATGGGTATATGGTATCTGATATCTATGTATATATGTATATATTATGATGATGCTGTATCCCCATGTTTGATGATGATATACCAATACCATACATCTACAAGACAAAGAGGTATCACAGGTTACCATCTGTACTCCACTTGTGCATATTTGCCAATAAGTTCACCAACGAACATCCTTTCTTCATTATGTGCTCATCATATCTCCATGAAGAAACAGTGGACATGATGAAGAAATGGCCAGAAAATATGTCCAAAATGATGTGTTCATTATGAATGTTTCACCAGTGTTACCCTCTGGTAAACGTTAACAAAAAACTATGGAAAGATCCACCATTTTCTAGCTGGGTAGTTATCAACTATTTCTTTCTGGGCCATTCTCAGTAGCAAACTGTTGACATAACCAGAGGGTTTAGGGTTCACTACCTTTCCACCAATCATCCATCGGTGAACCCCCAGGCCGTGACAAAATTCACCCACCTCATCTGCTGAGTCCGGCAGCGTGGTGCTGCCAACATCCGCAAACCTCATCATGGCGGGCCACTGGGAAATCCAGAAACAGAAATGGCCATTGAAATGGGAAAAACATCCCCCATGAAGGTGGGAAAACGTAAAGAAATCCCATATAAATCTGGATGAAGTCATATTCTACAGTTAATTCACTTTTAACCCGAATTTTCAAAGGTTTTTGGGATAGAAAACTTCAGATTATAAGTGAATTAACCGTGGAAAATCCCCCACTTTAACCATGGAAATATCCCCCACGATAAATCTCTAGATATTTCCATGGCGAAAAGTGTCCACTCCAAGGCACTTCTTGGTCAGTTCCCGGCGCTGTTTTTTGGTGACCTGCGACAGGTACCATTCAGAAAAACGGACACATGAAATATACGGAAATATAGCACTGTTGTGGTTTATTATGGCTTATTATGGTGGTTTATTATAGTTTAATTTAATATATATATACTGGGTATAAATATATATATATATATATTACCCCCATACTAATAAACTGAATGCTTATTATGGTTTATTCAGCCGGAGCTAAAAATACAAATATCCGCCATAAAATCCACTTGGCTAGGTATAGACACTAGACATCTCTAGATCAACTTGTGTATCTAGGGAGAAATCGGGGCATCGCAAGCAGGGGTTCATTGCCTGTCTGGGTTCAAGCCAGGATTTAGTGAGGTTACCGAAAAAACATACATTCCCGACATGAATAAAGCAAGGATCACCATTGATTCGACTGGATATCACCAAAATAGCTGGCCCCTTAGATGGGGAACCTCAGACAGCTTACCTACCATTCACCACTTCGTCGCAGCCAGTTGGGTTTTCATGGCTAATCTTAGATACATTTATCGAAAAAGACGACGTGATCGCTGGTGAACCCAGGTTTCATGGCTGGTTACCCTCCATTCAGAAACTCATGGCCCAGGTATACTCCCTTGTATAACATCATTGAAATCAAAGAATCCGCTACTTGATAGGTTATTCCACTAAATAACTAGTTCATTACGCTGGTGAGTAAATTCCAAGTGGGTTAACCATTGAAGAAAACCCAAGCTACGCAACGAGTCGGAACATCTGGGAAGTTTTCTGGTCGGGCCTTCGAAGGCTTCAAATCCTCCTTCTTCATCGGCGGCATCCGATAGTCCTAGGCAGCGACGCCAGAATTGTGACTGCTGGGGGTTGGTTTCCCATGCCCATCAGAAAGAAATGCTGGAATAACCTATCCATCATAGGGATCACTTCTACCGTTTTTGTATTGATTTACATTTAATTGCAACCTATTACCCTCTGGCTATGTCAAAATAGCTATTGAAAATGACCCCCAAAAAAAATAGTTGATTTACCGAACTCAATAGCATGGTGGATCTTTTTATAGTTATGTTAGCCTGTTTACCAGAGGCTAATCTTAAAAATTCCCATTGGAAAAGCCACGGGGAAACGACTCAGGAAGATGATCTATATGATCTATCTATACCCCATATATGCGAACCATGGTGCTGGAATATGAATCCCAACATTTGCCCAAAAAAAAATCCAGTTATGTTGGTACATATATGGCATATGGATACTACTTTACTGGATGATAAAGATGAAATGTCACGCCTCGTTTCGTCATTTCGCTTCGCCGAGGTTGAGTTTTCCACCCATTGGATCCAGAGGTTAGGCAGCAATCAGCTTGCCACGGGACGTATGGTCCCAAGTTCGTTTACCACCTCTTGATAGCCATTCATAGACGCCAAATCCCAAGCGGTTTGTCCATCCTTTGTGGTCAGATCAACATCTGCACCAGACTCAATCAGCGCCCGAACCACCTCCACATATCCTCCAGCAGCCGCGATGTGCACTGGTGCTACACCGGTTTTTGTCGCCTGATTCTTGTTGGCCCCAGCTTCAACCAGTACACGGACAGTGTCGAGATTTCCTCTCGCAGCTGCAATCCACAAGGGTGACATCCAGTCATCGTTCACCTTGTCTTTGGTGGCGCCAACTGCAACCAGAAAACGTACAATTTCGAAATAACCCTCTTCAGCTGCAGTAAACAATGGTGTTGTACCGTCTTTTCTAGCCTGATCCTTGCTGGCCCCAGCCTCAACCAGGAAGCTGACAATGTCCAAGTGACCGTAGTGAGCTGCAAGTTGCAAGGGTGTTGATCCCCTCATCGAGCATTGATGCTTGCCGGCCCCAACTTCAACCAGGAAGCGGACAACATCCAAATGGCCTTCCAGAACCGCAAAATGCAAGGCTGTTAACCCCCGATTGGTAGCAAGATCCTTGTTGACCCCAACTTCAACCAGGAAGCGGACAGTGTCAAGATGGCCTTCCCCAGCCGCAGAATGCAAAGGCGTCACCCCATTGTCGTCTGTCGTACGCTGATCCTTGTTGGATCCGGTCTCAATCAAGAAACGAACGATGTTGAGATGCCCTTCCTCAGCTGCAAGATGCAATGCTGTTTGCCCGGTTTCCATACATGGCTGATCTCGGGTGGCCCCAACCTCTACAAGAAAGCGGATGACTTCGAGGTGGCCCTGCCTTGCTGCAACGTGAAGTGGTGTGTACCCCTGCGTGCTTGCCTGATCCTTGTTGGCCCCAACTTCAACCAGAAGGCGGACTGTCAAGATGGCCCCCAAAAGCTGCCAAATGCAAAGGCGCCCACCCATGTGAGCCTGGGGCATCTTTCGCTGCACCTGCCTCGAGCAGCAGCTGCAACGGTGTCGCATGTCCATACAAAGCCGCGTGGTGCAGCGGAGTCTTGCCAGTGTCATCTGTCAAATTGGGAGTCCGTGGTTGTTGCAACAACTCTTCAAGTGCAACTGCATAGTTCTCCCTCGATGCAGCGATGAGTAGTTGGTCTTGCTCTTCATCAGGTGGCCAAAAGTCTAAAATCACCAGCTGAACCTTGACAGCAGCGCCTGGGCGAAGACCTCATCATCCTGGATCTCGGAGCCATCTGGGCCTCCCTGCAGCAGCTTTTGCCCAAATCTGGTGACGCCAATTTTGGCTGACAAGCACTGTTTCACGGACTTGGCCGACTTTCCTTCGACCTCGTCTGGATCAAGGAATGCCAGTGTCCCGCCTGTGACGGCGGAGCACACCTCCATGGCTGCAGTGCCGGACTACCTGAAAACCAGTTGCACAAAGATTTAAATAGACTCTTGTTTGCACATGACAGACGTGGTTAAAATAAACTACACACTGCTTTGGCCAGTCAAAAGTGCGCGTTCATGTTTACATGGTCGTCATGGCCAATCTGAAGGACCTGGAACTTCCACAGTGACATCTGGTACCGACATCATGGTCACTCTTAGGAGCCTTGGGATCTTTGGTGTCCACAATACTGCTACGATCAGCAAAAAACTGAGAAATTTTCAGGCAAAACTCCAAACTGCACAAATCCAACAGTTGGAATCTATAAAAGCAATATCTGAGATATCTGGTTGGTGGTTTCAACCTACCCCTCTGAAAAATATGAGTCACTTGGGATGATTTGGGATGATTTGGGATGAAATTCCCAACATATGGAAAGTCATAATCCAGTCATGTTCCAGTCACCAGCAACCAGATATGATTTCACTCACTGATTGCTGCCATTCCGAAGCCATTTCGAGATCAAAAACCTGGGTGACACTGTAATTGTGAATCCCTATGGGTTTAGAGTGAAACCCCAAACCCTAACTCATGCTTAGTCATCATAGCTACCCTCCGGTAAACTGTAATCACTATTTCAATCACTACCTTCTCACCTCTAATCTCTATCAATCCCTATCACTAGGTCACTAGCAAACACAAAAAAAACCTCTGGTAAACATACAGAAAACTATGGAAAGATCCACCATTTTTAATAGGTAATTCAACTATTTCGACTGGGCCATGTTCAATTTCGCTTTTTGTATGTTTACCAGGCCGGGTGACTCAATGAAACCAAGCAATTTTCATGGTGAAATCGCACTCCTCCCCCATGGCTTCCCCCATGGCTTCCCCACGTTGAGCATCACGAAGATCTCAGCGATCATCATGGTCATACGACCCATGTAGCCTTCGCCTCATGGCTCGACGTTTGGATGGTGACTTTTTCGAGAATCCCCATAGGAAAAATGCAAAAATGGATTCTGAGAACTTAATCCCAAAGTTCTTAGGCAAAATGATAACTGGATATAACTGGGATCTATCCGAATATCTTATTTAATCTACCTCTTGTAGCAAATACTAGTGAATTATCTGAAAACAAATCTACAATGTAAAATACCCAGATTTCTAGAGGCAAAACTAACTACCGGTGAAGGATATTGATAATGAAAAATATTTGGATTATGTTTCTGATTAGCAGTATAATGAATTGGGATGATAGAGTGCTTTTCCATTGCTATGTGTCGCTGACCGGTAACATGGACTTGCTGGAAAATTCCCCATGTAGTTGGTGCTTCATCCGAAGTAGTGGCTGAGTTCACCCCAGTTACCCTCTGGTAAACATACAGAAAACTATGGAAAATCACCATTTTTAATGGGTAAATCAACTATAAATGGCCATTTTCAATAGCTATTTTGACATAACCAGAGGGTAACCCTACTTTGCCCAGTTGGTACTTAGTCCCAGGACTTTCCCCCCCAAGTTGCTGCTGGAATTTGCCAGCACAGCGGGAAGGGCCCGGGGCCCATAGCAACTGATGAACGCAACGATATCGGGAGAATCAACTGTGGCACCGCTGATTTGCAACTATCCAGTTGTGTAATCTTTGGTAGCTGTACACCATTTTCTCACATTTTTAACACCTATATTCAATAGTTTACACCATGTTAACACCATTTTCTCACATTTTCTCACACGTTTCCAATAGTTCACCTTCCTTCGAACAGAATGGGTTGGCCCCCATCTCTTCGGGATGGGATGATTTTTCTCTGCTTGAAATCACCATTTTTTAAGTGGCGTCCCAAAATCACCATTTTTTATGTCCCAAAATCATCCAAAATCCATTATCTTTCATCAAGAAATCTCCATGAAATCTACTAAGATCCTTTTTTCAGCTGGAAAAAAAACATCATCAAACACCAAAAAAACACAACTCTAACTCAGCCAAATCCACAGCCATCCCATAGAACTCGCCAGTGAATCGTCCCGGATCGGCGCCTTCGATGCCTGTGGGTCGATTGGTGAAGCCCAGCACCGACTGCGCGCGGTAGTTCCGGTCGCCCGTCTCGCGGAAGCGCAGCGGCAGACGTCCTGCCGAGTTCCGCCGGAGCGAAGTGGGGAGAGAACATGGGATGACAGGCGTATAATGGGATGACATGGTTGAATGATGATGATGATGATGATGATGATGATGATGAATGAAGAATGATGTGTGATGTATGATGTATGATGTATAATGTATAATGATATAACTATAATGATGATAGTATTATTATAATGGGATAACATGGGGTATAATGGGGATATCATTAATGTTGAATGTTTTTGTTTTTTACGATAATGATTCAATGTTCCAAAGTGTGTGACATATCATAATGATACTACTGTTATACTGATATACTAATGATCATGATGATTTAGTAGTGACTCAATGGGATTTAAGTGTTTCTTTCATGGAATCTCACGATCTAGCCCCCGGTGTCATCAAACCTGGCTGGAAAATCCCCTTGGACACCCATTTAGTTGGATCATGAGGATATTTTCCAGCACGCCACGTGACTGATTACCGATTTTGGTATATGGCATTTATAGGTCTTCGAACTGGGTGAACTCGACTGGTTATGGCGTGAACTATAACCATTCGATGGCATCATATTTAACTTGCAACTTACCCACTGGTTATGTCAAAATAGCTATTGAAAATGGCCATTTATAGTTGATTTAGCCATTTAAAATTGTGATTTTTGATAGTTATGTTAGTTTACCAGAGGGTACAACCATGTGATAAATCACAGGCTAATGTCTAAAGCTTGTTTTACTCGAGCCGCATTGCCGGTAAGATAAATCTGTGCTCCATGGTGTTTGGGGAGAATGCGCAAATTACCGGAGGGTAATTCCCACATAAGCTGCTGGCAGGAGCCATTTTTACCCGTACGTTGTAATCTTTGTGTCTTAAACTAGCCTTTCACCAGTGAGTCATTGGCCATATCCCACATCATCCAAGTGATTCAAACACTATAGAATTGAAACACATGGTGACTTGGGTATCCCCCGGTTTAACAAAGACCCACATGGATTTGATCTGATAACTTATCCACAATGATAAGTGGGATCTATCCTAATATAATGATAAGTGGGATCTATCCTAATAGTATCTTATCTTATCAAACAAACTGAAATCCCTCCGTCAGTCCTCGTTTGGTCCATGGAGAGCAGTATATCGCACGCCAGAGTCCAGCTAACGTCACCTCCGTAGCCAAAAGTTGCGCCAGTTTTCAGGGGTTTTGTTGGGGTCCACAATTTTTAGGATCCACAAAATACCCACAGAATATGAAAATGATTGGTTTACCCTCAGAATGTTGTCGGTATCTTCATCGCTTTTTACTAGGTACCCACCAGAACAAGCTCAGTCTAAAGAATAATACTACGGTAACAAACTATAACTAATCAATAACACTTTGTTAAATGTTATAGTTATAGGTACCCAGCATTTTTCTATCATTATAACTAGGTAGCCATCATACTTTTACTAGGTACCCACCATAGAAATCTATCATTGATGCTTAAATCCCATGGGGAAACCCCAATGCTTCAGTTGCTTCGACCACGATGAAAAATGACCAGTTGGTCCAATTAGGTCAGGTGGACCAGTGGGGAATTTTCCAAAAAATCACCGGCTCAGCAAAACTAAGTTGATTTTAATGGGATTTAATGGTGATTTAATGGTGATTTCATGGCATCTAGGATATACCAGCTAGATAATAATGACTGGTTGGTGGTATACCTACCCCTCTGAAAAATGTGAGTTCGTCAGTTGGGATGAATAATCCAAATGTTCCAAACCACCAACCAGGGTACTAATAGTCACATGAATTTACCAACAAGTTACCCTCCAGTAAATTAACAGTTCGACCCTGGTAGATAGGGGTTGGAAGATTAGTTTCCTCTAAAAAATGGTGATTTTCAGGGTCCAACTGTTTTTTACCAGAGGGTACATTAATTTGATATTTGACATTTGATATATCACATTCATCATCCCCAAAGGGCTTCAATAAACCATCCCCAATGGGGATCACTCCTCAGTGAACTACTCATTTTTGACATACGATAACGCCTATAAATAGCCTATGGTGATTGTCATGATCATTCTGAAATTGGGCTTACCACATTCCTCATGGAATTCATAAACCAACTTATAACTAGGTGGTTGACTTCTAGCTTTGTGAACTGTAACTATCTAGGTAAATTGCAATATTTCACTAACCTGAAGTAAGGCCACTGATCTTCTCTCTGGCCGGCCCCCCCTCCCAACAAGGAAGAAAGGACCGGTTACCTGAAATAGGCCGTTTGGAGATTATTCCCCGCAATCTAACCATGATTCCAGGCTTCCGTCACGACGTGACGTCATAATAATTTAACCAGGTTTATTGGATGTTCAATAGGGATTCAACCATCATAGGGATGAACTCTATTGGGCATTATGGATGTGATATATCCCATCAAGGAACTACAGATACTAATCTACCATGATCCATGAACCATACAATGTGGACCCCAGTGATGTTTCTTGTTCTTTTTCAATCTATAGTGGCTATAGTTACGAAGTATAAGTATCATATAAGTATCATATAAGTATCATATAAGTATCATATAAGTATCATAGTCAGCATAAACCCCATGAATACTCATAGATATAAGATCTGATAAGTATCATAAAGCATCGTCATCGGAGTTGTCTTCACCAACAACTACCCTCTGGGAATTTCTTACATAGCTATTGAAAATGGCCATTGAAAGTTAGTTCGTTGATTTACCCATTAAAGAGGAGGATGATCTTCCAGTTCGCAAACCCACCGGGAAGCCACACCAGCATAGTCATTGAGTCATTGGACCATTGGAGTTATCTTCACCAACTTCGCCATCATGTAATTTGTTTCCAACTAAATATATCTAAATTCCAACTGGTTAACTAAATGGTAACTAACTTAATTCATCCCAGTTATATATATATATGGGTATATATATATATACCATTTAGAAGTTAGTTATACTTAATTCACCCCCTTCACCCCAGTCATGGTTCGTTCACCAACTTCCACTGGGGTGAACTAACCAATGGCCACCCGGACGATCCCACTGCAGATCCGCGGCCTTCGTCGGATCTTCCTGGCGCCATTTCTCCAGGCCCGGTGGCACCAGCACGTCGGCGTCTCCAGGTGGGTCCTGGGCTGTTTCAGGGTCCAAAAGCCGTGGGTTTTTTTGGGGAAATACCATGGAAATACCATGGGAATATTGTGGGGATACCTTTTTTGGGGCAAAAGATGGGATTCTACTAGGTGATTTTCCATGGAAAAATCTGTTCGTCATAACCAGATGGTAGGAAACAGAAAAATATGAGGATTGGAATAGTTTGACACATTGGATCAAGAAATCCTCATATGGGTTTGTGCGTATTTGTATAATTTGTATCAAAACTTGGGACACAACTGGGAAAACCTGGCAAACATTAGAAACGTGAAGGGAAGCTGAACCGCCAACAACCACAATGTTTGGGCGAATCTCAACAATCTAATACAATCTATAAGGGCCCCTAAAAGTGATGGTTTTAGCCGTAAAAATGGAGGTTTTACTGTTCACAATGGTGGTATATGATGAAATGATATTCGCTAAGTGTGTTAATAAATCGCTTTATAAATGGGGCTTTTAAAATTTCATGGATACATCATACATTATTTCAGATTTCTTACCCTCTGGTAATTTAACATAACTATGGAAAATCACCATTTTGTTTGTACAATTTCCCATGAAAAATGGTGGATCTTTCCATAGTTATGTGTATGTTTACCAGAGGGTATTTCAAGGGGGGCTATGAACTCACTCATCTCACCCCTCCAGGGCTATGAAACCCGCCTGCAACGCCATCCATTTCACATCATAGATCGCGGGAAAATGTTGCAGCCACTGATCAAAGCACTCCTGGCGAAAAGGGGCGATCGCCCGAGCCGAGTCCGACTCAAAAACCCGTGTTTTTTTTAGCAGATGAATATAATATGTATTTCTGTGTGTCCATTTATACATACCTCTTCATATCATGGCTAATCTCGAAAGCCCGGCAAAAAGTAGCATCTAGCGGCTAATTCCCCGCGTTGGACAACAAAAAGCTATTGAGCTATCGTGCAACCTATTCCAAGGTTTAGGTTTTATACCTATTCCCTAAGGCTTACCTCATACCTGTCAACCATGGCTTAATGATAGTGTTCGTTAAGATCTTCGGCTTGATGGGCAGACTCGCAGTGCCCAGTCCACCTGTCATACTCAGCTGACTGAATGATGTGTGGACGCCTGTTTTCGGAATAGTCCATAGTCCCCTTTCATGAACGGAGTTTCCAAGGCAGCCATGGCATCTCTGGTCTGACTTTCCAGAGTTCGTGGTGAATCGCCCCTTGATTTATTCTAAACTTCCAACCATACGTACTTATGAGGTGCTGATACGTAACTGGGTAAAACCCTCATATAACAACCGGCTTATGTCAAGACTTATGTATGTATGCTTATTATAACTTATGAAATAGATGGGTCAATACTATACATGATGTAAATATTGATGGCAAACATGGGCTACCAACCAACACCTTCGAACACTTTCGAACACACCGTGCGCCTCTGTGGTGCCCACGGGTCCCAAGAACTTGTCAAAGAGCTGAATCAAATCCTCTGCGGGACCATCTCTGTGGATATCTGCGGTAGTGGTGAAAGTGGCGGCTTACTAATGGTGGATATGTGTGTGATGGTGAAAGTGCCGGTTTTTCGTAATTTACTAAAATCCCATCCGATTTTTTTTCCAGAGCCCCAACAAAAATGGTCCGATGTGGTGCAAAAGCCTTCCTTTTTGCGGTTTCGTTTTACCCTCTGGTAAACCTGCTAACATAACTATGGAAAGGTTTCCACCCACTCTCTAGCTAGGTAAATCAACTATTTCGACTGGGCCATGTTCAATAGCTATGTAACAAATTACCAGAGGGTAGCATTCTTAATGGGTAAATCAACTATAATCAACTATAAATGGCCATTTTCAATAGATTTTTGTGTGTTTACCAGAGGGTAGGTGGTGTTGAATATGAATGGAAGGGATTTAATCCACCGTACCAGTCGCCTTGATTTCGCTCATCCCCTACTGGAATGCACGTCCAACTCGTAGTGCTGCAGGATGTGTGCCACGGACGCAGGCTGTGGGAGCGTGATAAAAAAAAGCGCAATAGAAATCCACAAAAAAAAACTCCATTTGTGAACTTAAATTAATGTACACATGTATGATACTGATTGCTGATGGATTTATATACAAACACTGTACAAACTTCGTATATATATATATACCTATATCCACTTTAAATGTGCATATATGGATAATTCATGATAATTCATCATGTAAAGAAACTGGGACATCCAAGTAATATACTCCCTGTTCGGTATATTTTCCCGGCATATGGCGTGACAACTGGGTACCATCCCATCCAGGTGTGTCGGAGTGTAGCCCCCAGACGTGATGTGAATGCTTTAGATTCACCCCATGAATACCAAAGGTTCTACCCTCTGGTAAACTCACAGTTTGCTATTGAAAATGGCCATAGTTATGTTACTTTACCAGAGGGTAAGTATCAGAAACCATAATTTGGGTAAAACATCAACCATCCCCCAGTCACCATCTGTATAGCTGGTATAAACCAGTCATGGGTGGTTTATGACATGGTTTTACCCATACTAGTGAAAATGAGGGGTCCCACCTTGTATTCATGTTCTATCCCATCTCCTGTGTACATCTGGCTGAATTCAAACTAAAGCCTAAAACTCAGAACTTCGTTGCAGTAGTCAGTAGACCATGCCATCAGTCGATCTCCCACTGGGCTGCCTAAGGTCCCATCTTGTTGATCCGGAATTCTTCTGACGAATTCTGTTTCTTGCGCATACACCATTCTTCGCATTCATTCTGCTGAACACCGTCCACCATGTTTCTGATCCTTTCAAAAGGACAAGAATCCTGATGTCCCATCTTCGGAAACATGATTTTCTCATCAAAAAACCATTAAAAAAAGGTCCTATAAACCATCCCCCAAATCATCCCAAATCACCATAGGTAGGTGCTATAAACCAGGATTTTTGGTGTGTCAAACTTACGCTTCCAATCCCCATCTTGGAAAATTAGCGCCGAGAATCGGTCAGGCCATCGTAGACCAACAAAGGGCATTTCGCTTCGCGCAGCGCCTGGAAAAAATCGATGGATCAACTTGCCTATGGAATACCTATGGTACCCTCTGGTAAACGTTTACATAACTATGAAAAATCACCATGTTTAATGGGTAAATCAACATAAATCAACTGTTTCGACTGGGCCATTTTCAATAGCAAACTGTGTGTTTACCAGAGGGTAGATATTGGTAGATAGTAAACATCCCACAAGTAGATCAAGTAGTATCCAAGCCGGAGGCAGCCTTCAAAACCATCACCACCGTAGAGGACATGTACTCCTCCCAGCGGTTCTTTTTGGCCTTCACCTGGCTGGCTTGGTGGCCATTTTCCTGGAGGATCCGCACGGTGCCTTTATGATTTATCTGGGAAGTTCCATACAGGATGGGGCCCCCAAGACAGTGTTCATTTGCCTCAAAAAAGTGGCTGAATTCTATGCTTTATGGTAGATATAACTATAGTTCATGGTGGTGATAATGGTTTATAAACCAACGTATAACTGTGGGGGGCCCATCCTGTAGACATTTTTGATCCATAGGATCCATTCTTTATGGAAAGTTCCATGGTTTTTTTCTTGGGATCTAAGCCATAAAAATGGCGGAAACTTCTCCACGGGAGATGTCATGTGTTGATTTGGATCTGCAACCAACAAAGCCAGTTTATTTTGATATATCACCATCATGATAATGTATAGTTACTCTTAGATCATGATATATATATATATATCATATATCATATAGTTACTGTAATTTTGATATATCATTCTGATATATTTACCCTCTCGTTATTTAATATAGCCATGGAAAATGGATGAAAATGGCCCATTTATAGACGATTTCCCCCTTAAAACCTCCATTTATAAGGGATTTTCCATGGCTATGTTAAATCACCAGATGGTAGATTGTATGATGAGGGATCCAAGCAACAAAAATGGCGGTAGAAATCAGCAAGCAGATAAAATGGAAATACTATATTTTATGGGAATATGTTCTTGTATATAGGTGAAATGGTGATGATTATGATGTGTGATATTTTAGCCCTTGTTTGTGGGGATAAAATTCAGGTATAGCCGGAATATAGCGGGAAAAAAAAATGGTGTGTCTCAGCGCATTGGAGGATTGACCGCCAGGCTTGGGCAAGTCTCATTCAAAGTCAATGATAACGGTGGGTTGTGAGGAATCCGATCTTTGGACAAAGCCACATGAAACCGACCAATGCGTTGTTGCCGACCAAGATTGGGATTTTAGTTCTGTAAACACTCAGGTTTTGACCCTTCAGAGAACTAGGAGCTCAAAGTGTTGAGTCACCACATAAATTGACCTGCTTCATGAGAAGTTGGATGTTTCTGATGTTTCAAACAAAAACGGCGATATTGTCATCAAAAATGATCAGTTGACAAACAAACATATTGATTTGGCATGTTTTGCCAAAGAATAGATTCAACTTTAACCGTCAACTCATCAAAACTTAAATCGGAGGTCCAGCAACCGAAAATATGATGGCTTAACTTAGTTCACCACGAAAAGCTCAAAGATTTCAGAATGGGATAGCTTTGTTGTTACATCACCATTTCTGGTCATGCGTTGAGACTTGGCTCCCCTCTGATAAACAGATTTAAAAATCGCAACCAAAGATCCACCAGAAATGCAGATGCTAATTTTCACATGTTGAGGTTTTCTCAATGACTACAATTTCTACAGTACATACTTTCAAAACACGAAGGGTATATGGACTCAGGTTTGACGCTACTCGAGGCACCCTGCTTTTCCAACATGAATTCCCTGCTTTCTGAGTAAGAATCTATGGACATGGGGCAAAATTGGTGTACTGAACAAATGGATGATTCTCAATCAAGTAAACAAAAAAAACGGCTTGCTGCGTTGAATCCCTGTTTAATCCCAACGTTCATGGCAAACCCATTCTGGCCATGGGAAATGTATCTGGTAAACGTTTACATAGCTGTTGAAAATCACCATGCTATTAGTGTGTAAATCCACTATTTCTATGACCATTTTCAATAGCTTTTTGTATGTTTACACCATTTTTCATGATAGTTCCCAAATGGGAAATCAGACCACTACCTCTATGACCTCGGATGGCCCCTCCATTCCACAGAGCTTGCAGCTCGCACCTTCTCGTGGATGAAGCGCCGTGCATGGACACGTTGAGGGCCACAGCGTTTGGGCAAGTGCCCGGATTGCCAAAAGCCCGGGAAAAGGCCCAAATCGTAGGAGCCTCGGAAGATCCAAAACAGATGGCCCCGGCGGCGCTTTCTCGTAGATGTTACTCCGCGAAAAGATGGGATCATCATCTACACATGGGATATACCATAGCGATCCATATTGATGTATTCCGTAAAATCACATGACTGGCTCACATCCTATTTCTGGATAAGTTTGATCAGGAACACCCATTTCTCGAGGCCCCAGATTTAAGTGTTAGTCACAAAAATGTCCCGTCATAATTGGGGCCATACCCCATGTCCATCCATTTCCAACAACATCCATTTCTGGTGCAAGTGCAACATGGTGAAAAATGCTGTGCAACATCCCCAGTTCAAAATGCTGTGTCGACCAACACAAGGCCACAAGGTAGGTCATTTAGGGTCATCAACCAAGCTTTCACCAAGAAATCCCCCAGTCCATTGGTGCCCAAATTTTCAGGAAGATATACCCTCTGGTAATTTAAGAGTTTGCTATTGAAAATGGCTCATTCACAGTTGATGTTCCCATTAAACATGGTGATTTTCCATCGTTTTTTGTATGTTTACCAGGCCGGGTAGATATAGTTCCAAGACCCCATAGACTCATAGGGGATGTTGGAGATCACCCATCCCCTGAATCTCAAAAACACCCCCCAATTCTGTCCCAAAGAAGTGCAAATCCCCCACTGAAACCATGGTTTATGGGGGGATGGGATTATATAATATTATATATAATCATATACATATATATATATATATATACATGTATTATTTGTACATATATGTGTATGTATGTATATACATATATATATATATATTATATATATAGACACATATACACATATAATCACCCAAGAGTCGTCTCATCCGACCCCCCCAACGGCTGCTCCGGCCCTCGCATTTTCACCCTCAACGGCTTGGATTCAATCTTCAGGCGGAGGCCTCAATCGGCCACCAGACTGCAGAAAGCGAACGGCCGATGCACCGATCGAAAGCCTGTTGCAGCAACAGGCCACGTGGATCTTGTTGATGGTCAACGCTATGACCAATGGCACCAGACTCCACCAGGTTTAGCGAACAGCAGCGGCGTTGCCCCAAAACGGTCGGCCTTGTCTTTGTCACAAGCGATTTCTTTTTTAGGAAGCGAAGCATGTCCAAACGCCCACTTTCAACTGCATTGTACAATGCATCCCTATCGGTCACAACATCATCCTTGCTGGCTCCCTCCACAAGAAAGCGGGCAACCTCTACATGGCCGCCAAAAACCGCGGCAATGATGGCGTTAGCCCACTGGGGTGGGCCAGATCTTTCTGTGCACCATTTTGAACCAAAAAACGAACAGCATCAAGGTGGCCACTGTGAGCTGCCTCCAGCAAGAGCCGCATGGCCTCAACATGTCCTTGCTCTCCTGCACGGTGCAAAGGTCTATGGCCATATCTATCTCTTGTGTTCGGATTTCGGGGGCGTTTCAGCAACTGTTCAAGACTAACTGTATCGTTTCCCCTTGCTGCAACCATCATCTTTTCGTCTTCTGCCACATCTGGTGGACAAAATTTCAAGACCACCAGCTGAAGCTTTTCAGGCACTGAGGAAAAGACATCATCATCTGGGACCTCACCAGCCTCACCTTAACCTTCCAGAAAGAGTCTTTGTCTGAATCTCGAGACACCAATCTCAGCTGCCAAGGCTTGCTTTACAGTCTTGGCGGTTTTTTCCTTCGAACTCAGCCGCATCAAGCAAGGCAGCTCTCTCGCCACTAGGAAACACACCTCCATGCTGCTCTACTCAATATGGCAAAGCTGTAGCAAAAAATATATGAATTATGATCAGAGATTTCGCTGAAAATGTTGCAGGCATGTAGGATCATGTGAATCATGTGGTATTAAAAACCACGAATTCTTGTCAGCTAGTTGCTTGACTTCACAGGCGCAGTTCCATCCTTTCTGGTGGGGTCCAACAATGCGGTTTCTATGAAAGAAACCCACACAAGTAACTATTCTATTCCTGGTTTGAGATATATTTGGGACATGATGGATACTATGGAGCGATAAATGTTAATTTGTGTTTTTTTTGGCCAACGTACTAAGAAACACCCAAATTCATGTTGCCATTGCAACGCATTTTGTGAACGGCCAAACGTCTGCTGGCTGTTGAGTCAAACGTGTCCAATTGCACAACGCCTGAACCCTGAGAAACTCTGATCCCCATTGTTCGGGGGGAATATGGGTACAACCACAGCTCCTAAAGGTTCCCTCAATTCACCACTGGATAGTATAGGCTATAGATATCCCATTATATCCACACTATACCCCCATGATATCCCCATAAATCAAGTAGTATGACCCCATTGTACCCTCAATCAAACATGGTGTGCTGGAAAGCCACTCATTTGGTTCGATGATTTTCCCATTCAAAGCTGCATGACTCGTTCGGGGATGTTCCAGCTAGCCATGTTTGATTCTCTGAGGGTCCCATTAGAAGCCAAAAAGCTCAGTTCGAAACGACGGTCGAAGGGGTTCCACACGCCACAGCAAATGCCCAGCCTGGAGACATGGTTCACCATAAAAAATGAGATCACGTTGACATGGCGGGAATGGTCACCATGACAATTGTCCGGAACTGGAAGTTTTCAAACTATATAAACTTCCTTTGACCAACAAAGGCTTGGGTTTAACTGTAAATACATGAACATCAACTCGAAGAAATGTGCATGTCAGTAGCACAAAATGGGATCACCAAAAAGCATGGACCTATCATAGCAATGAAGTGAAAAAAAACGGCAAAACACCAACTCGGATTTCCCTCCGCCAGCAAAAGCAAAAATGTTAATTTCTATGCTCTCTGCTGCTGGCCATCTAGCCGGTCCATATAATCACCATTAAACCAGTATAACTTCGTAAAAGCCCATTTAATGTGATGAACCCAAGAAATAAACCATTCACCGACTAACATCGACTGGTCACAACCATTTGGAGGCTATGATAAATCATACCAAAAAGTGCTATACCGACTATACCAGCATACCCAATTTCAAAACTCCTCTATTGGAAATTGTTTATTATTGGGTTTACAACATTATATCACATAACCAACCCCATTCACTGGTCTGAAGGTTTTGACCCCCCATGATTGCTGCTTCAAGTCTGAAAATGCCCTTCGAGGTTGATTCATCCACTTGTTCTTGTTGGTGAATCCACCCGTTGTCGATTGTTAAATCAGGTCAACCCAAGATAAATCCGGCTTACTGTACAACAATTCACCAACTTGAAATAAAGTGTCAACGGATTGGTTGCAGGGAAAATCAAAACCGGAAACTACCATTGTTTTTTTGACATATGGGGGGGGGGTCCTGCAAATGCTCCCTCAAGTCATTCCATTTTTCAGCGGTGACCAAAAACCGATGCCATCTACGATGTCCCATGAGCTCGCTATGGTCCACAAGGGACACTTACTTATCATATGTGCTGCATCATGACATCCATATGCTTAAAAGGATTTAGCCCAATTCATCTTGTATCGTGGATGATTTTTTATCCCCGTTGTTGTTATCTAAACTTCCATATATCATAGTTATATATCATATGTTACATGTGAAAAATGATATTATGTGGTCTATATCCCCATTTAATGATGGATAAAAATCATATTCACCCCGAATCTCCGTTAAATGGAGTCTTCCACCATCACCAGGTATTCGAAAAATATTGGGTGTATTAAATTGTTACCCTTTGGTTTAACGTAGCTATGGAAAATCACCACCTTGTTGTAGGTAAATCATTGGTAAATCATCATTAAAGAAAAAAACACCTATTTCTGTGGACCATTTTCCATAGCTATATGGAAAATAGTGTTAACCCCTGTATCTCCCTGTACGCATCTGGATTGATTTTCCCATTTTGGAAAATCACCCAGCCTTTTTCCCCATGTTTTTCCCCCGCCTCTGAGGCAACTCGAACTGTGGTGGCTGCTGCATCTGTTCCACATGCAACTTGAAGTATTCCTGGCGCAGGGCGACTTCGGAAGCTACGCCCAGGTACATGGGATGAAATGTGCTATGGTCATCCCGGTAAATGGATTGATGATGGATGATGGCTATGAATTTATAGCGAAAGTCTCATTGATACTGTGGATGGTTGCGAAATCCTGCATCACCAAAAGGATGGGAGCAAAACCCTATAAATAATGGGATGTTTACCACCGTTTTCAACTGGTGCAAGATTTCTTCCATCCAACGTATTTAGAGCAACCAGCCCCAAATACGTTGAAAAGTGCGAAACCCCAAGAATCACGGGGAAACATCGTCCAACCCGGCCTCCATGGAGAGGTTTGGTTTCACCTGGAGAGGCAACGAAAAGTTTGGAACGCAACAAAGGATATATACTTACAATGCTTGGGTATACACCATAAACCCCCATTTTTATCTATACAGTAGTTACTTAGATGACATATATATATAATTATGTATATATATATATATATGTATATATATATGCCTGTTTATATACCATCTAACTATACAATCTGGGGCCCAGTTATGTTAGTTGGTTTATAAGCCCCAGTAACTAGTTTGTTATAAGTACCATAAACCATAGTGAAACTGGACTTATAAACCAACTTAGCTAACTATGGGGCATCACCCTGTATATAGTCTATAGTGCGCAATATACATTATGTATAGATTTATATTATATTATATTATGATATATTATGATATATTATGTATGTGTGTGTGTGCTATATTTTTCTAGTGTAGGCTCTTGCAACTGCTGGGCTTCTAGTAGATATATCTGCAGTTGAATGAGTGAACTTGCACATACTTGCACCAATTTATCAGAGAGGGCCAAAAGTCAAAGCCATTCGTTTGGCAAGTTTTGGTCATGTTTAGTCTGAAACCAGCCATGTTTGGGGCACCATTTTTTTTAAACTCCCAGACTGACATAGCACGTGGATTTTTAAAATGGATTGCCGGAGGGTTTCCTCCAGCAGCAACTAACGGCCAATCTCCACAAGGAAAACAACTATAGGGATGTCATCACGAAAATCCAAGCAGACTTCGCCCCCCTCCGCGGGATTTTAAGCCAAGCCACCGTCTGGAAGAGATATTCGCTCGTATCGAAGCGCAGGGCCACGAAATCGGCCTAATTTTGGACGGAGAATCGACCGCTTTTGATGGAAATTGGTGCTTCATCATCCCAGGTTTGGATGGGAAACTGTGGCAGAAACCATGGTAAAAATGGTGTCATTCGTGGGATAAAAAGTGGCCAAATCTGGTTTTAAGTTGGAGTGCGATCGCGAATTCTAGTTTCGATTTTGACCCAGATTTCCCACTTCGGGCTGCATCCAAAAAGCTGGTGGTTTTCACAACGGTAGAGCCCAGAAAAATTGATCGGATATAGGATATCCCCATTGGTTGATAGCTTGATAGCTCCCCATCAATCCATGGATCCGAACAATGTGCGATCCCACCAGAGCGATCCCACCAGAGCGATCCCACCAGAGTCCGGAATCATAGACCCTTCCAAAAAAAAACAATAGACCCAATCATTGAAGGTAAAATTTGACTTTCGCCCATAATTATCTGGGTAAATTATAATATTTGGGGATGATTTCCCTTACTAACCATGATTATAGTGAGGTCGCAGTGAGGTCGTTATAATTTACCCATAATTATCCATAATTAAGATTACCCTCCGGTAATCAAACGTGGCTTGCTAGAAAATCCACCATTTAGTTCGATGATGTTCGCAGCTACAACCCTCCAGTGATAGTAGATTTCCCAGCCAGCCACGGTTGATATACGTTTGATTAGAGGGTAAGATTGGCTGGTAACTCATGTGGTAAACCCCTGGACCCATCCCCATTGACTTTGTGGGATTGGCCACGAACGGCAGGTTCATCGCAATTCGTTTACCATGCTTTGCCATGGATAAACACAGCTGGATTAGTCCCATCCCTTACTAAATGGTGACTGGTGACTCCATACAAGGTGGTGCCCCCTAGATAGCTAAGTTGGTTTATAACTCCAATAACTATGGTTTATAGGTGATATATCTATAGTTAATGGGATTATAAACCAACAAACATAACTGGGGGGCACCACCTTGTAGGGTGTTTAATACTAGGGGGGAAGGGATTATTGGGGGGATACCCCAAGTTAGTATAATTATTAGTAAGTTTGCTATTGATAGAGGTACCCCCCAGTTGAACAGCCCATTGGTTTCTGAATCCGCGGTTGACATTTCGTAATTGATAGTCAAAAATAAGTGATTAAAAAACACCCTCTGGTAAACATACCAAAAACTATGGAAAATCACCACTTTTAGTAGGTAAATCAACGATAAAATTGCCATTTTTCAATAGCCATGTTAGTTTACCGGAGGGTAAAATCTCCAAGATATCCCCATTATATCCTATGGTTAGCCCATCTGTAGTCGCTTCTAGACCGCCGAGCTGTGCCTTCTCAATGTCTTCCACACAAAACGTTGGGTCCGCGCCGATGATGCTACGATCCATGGCGCACTCAGCGAAAACAAAAACACGGCTGGGGCGCGGTTTTGCGAAGCCGCGCTGGCTTTTTTGACGAGGGTGGGTCAAAAGTGTGAACCCACCAGCAAAAGTTTATCCAAACAAATATCGAAAACCCTTGATCAACGGATGAGACATGATGATAAATTGATGTCAGAATCCAAAACATCTAAATTCATAAGATGATAAAATATGATAAATTGATTTT